ATAATTGCATCTTCTTGGAACTGGTTATAAAGGACCATTTATAGAGGGTGTGCATTTAACGAAAAATATTTTTTTATAATAAATTATTATTATATACTATTGTTATTAATTTATATTTATTATTATTAAATTATTTTATATATTCTTTACTGCTAAAACTGTATTTTTTTATTACAAACTATATATATATTTTTATATATATTATTTAATAAAAATATATATCTATATTAGTTTGTGCCATTGAACTAATTTTTTTCTTACTAATAAATTTTTTAAGGCTATCGACTAATTTTAGTTGCTCATTAACTTCATCTTGTTGAAGTAAAAACAATCTAATACTCTTTAAATTTTCTAATACAGCTGTAGTACTAATAATCAGTAGTTTAATACTATTATTTAATTCATCAGAATTATCCATTTTACTTGATTTATTTGTATCTTCAGAACTATAAATGTATTAACAAGTTCTTCTATAACTTTATTATCAAGAACCTTATAGATAATATTTTCATTAGAAATGTTTAAAAATTTATCAACTTCCATCATATTTGGAAAAGACAAAGAGTTAAGCACTTCATAAGTTTGTCATACACAGGATTGTTTCTAAAAAAAAAAAAAAAAAAAAAAAAAATCAATATTTATTGCATATATGTACATATGTACATATATAAATGTGTATATAATATTTAACAAACAATACAGGTTATTATCTAGATTATATGGAATTAGCACTAATAGAAAGAATCACCATTTTGCACCAACAATTCTTTATAGTTTCAGTAATAACTTTTTCTCAACCTTTAATAACATAATGAATAGCCTGAAGGATGTTCATCTTTAAGTCTTGAATTAAGTTGCACCTTTTGATCTGTTCTAACTAGTGATACAAATTGATAATCAAATTAATCAATTAGTTGTAAAGTTGCCAACTAATCAATTAGAATTTTTAAATTTAACTTAGTCGATTAGTTGATTAATTGATTAATCGATTAGTTGATTAATCAATTAGTTAACTAATCAATTAGTTGATTAATCAATTAGTTAACTAATCAATTAGTTGATTAATTAATTAATCAAATATATAGTTAATTAGCTTATATATGCAAGTAATTTATAACTTATGGCATAACTGAATCATTACGTTTCTATTTTGATAAATATTAGTATCTTATTAATTCCAACTTTGTAACTTGATGATTCAGTTACTTGAATTTTTCAGCTATTCCAGAACTTATGAACAGCTGTAAATAAAACTTTAATTTATACAGTTACTGTATTATTACCTGAAAGCTAATTTCCCAAAAAGATTATACCAGCTAAACTGGCTAAAATGTCTTTTTGGAAAATAGCTTTTATGAACTTAAGTTATAGTATAAATTACATAACCAAACTTAATAGTAAGTATATATTGGCAAAATTTTAATAATATTGATATAATAATCATGTGTCAATTATGTTATAATTTTGAAAGTTATTAACTCAATAATATTCCTCAAGAATTTCATATCTTTAACCTTTATAACCATAGCAATATTTTCTTATCATCAATTCTAAATTGTGCAATTGATAAAATTTGATTCTATACAGTAATTTAAATTTTTATAGATCATTCATTTCTGAATAATATGTAAAAAATTTTATCAGTACAAGATGATTTTATGCAAATCAAAAAAAAAAACTTGAAGGAACTTACCAAATGTTTAACTGAAACAAAAAAACTATTGATTAAAATAAAGTATATTTTTAACAAACAAGTAGTTAGATTCTATATACAAATGTACTCATGAAAGATAAAAATAAAGCATTATTTGAGGACTTAAATAGATAATTAATCTAAGCTGAATCTCCCTATTATTGTAATACAAGAAACAGCAAACTATTTCTTTAAAATAACCCAATGAAAAATATAAAAAAAAAGATTAAAATAAATAAAGGATTACATTAATTCTATCTAGATGTGTGATTTAAATGCATCAGTTTAGCAACATGATATATTTTTGACTGCAAAGATATTCTAATCGATAGTGCTAAAAGAGCTTTTGTCACAACTTAATAGAAATTGTAAAGCTTACTAGATAAAAATTGAAAAATATAATCTATTTTAATAAATAAATGGTTAATACTCTGATTTACAAAATTATAATTAAAAAAAAGATGACTTATTGGATATTTTAACTGACAATACATGAATTAAACTGGTGGTTCTTATAACAGAAGAAACCATCAATGTTATATGACTGATGCTTCACCTGATGTGCAACATATAAAAAAATTATTTTACCAGATTATTTCACTAGTACATGTTATTATTATAATCCCATATATACAGTGCTGTATATAGTACTCTCTGGAGTAGTATTACCCTTTTCTTGACAAGCGATTTGTGACCCAATTTTTATAATTATAGTGTGATCTTTTCATTGAGTTTGATATGTCTAATAGAAAGAAATATATTAATCAGTAACAGTTATTTGTATTATTCTTCTAGCTTCCAATAACAGAGGGGTATTATTCAATCTAGGCCAGCTTTTTTGAAAAATACTTGAGGTACTATATACAGCACTGTACAGTATAATAAAAATGGTATAAGATTATAATTATAATATGTACTAGAAAAATGTCTGGTATTGTAAAACAATTTTTTTATATATTGCACACTGGATGATAGTTCCTTCTATTGGTTCTTATTGTAACACTTATACTCTGGCCATTATCAGTTATTAGAAGTAGAAATTTTATTTCCACTTATATCCAGAATGTGACTATTACAAATTTACAAACCACTAGTAACATTTTCCAAAATTATTATAATTTAGGTTATATATATTTATATATGTCTAGATATATAATTAAATAAAATACCTTATCTATTCAAAAAATATAGAAGCAAAATTTGCTTGTATTTTGAACTAGTTGACAAATGCTACTATATTAGATTATTTGCATTTTAATTTGTAAAAATACTTAAAATTTTCGAAATAGATTTTCTTGTTCCCTTAAATATAATTTTGTATTTAACATAGAAATTGAAAAGTATGAATCATAACATTTTTTCTTCGACTATAGTTAAAATCCTTAGGATTATCCAATTATTGGAGCAACCAGATTTATGTAATAAATTGAAACTCTGTGAATTAGTTATTGCACTGTTCAAAAATTCAGATAATTTGTACAATAAATTAAAATAGATTAATTTATAAAACTTAAATACAAAACAATAAATAGTCTTCTAAACTTAGCTCTCTATAGCAATAGCATGTTGTAATAACCAATTAAAAGAAAAATGATTGTTATAACTAGGAATGGGACACTGCACAGGCAGAAAGTTTCAGAAGCTCAGAAATTTTTGAGTTACAATAACTTTTATAAATTATATATAAAATATTGGATATTTTTTACTGTCTTCAGGATGTATTAGAATTTTGGCCAGATACACAAAAATTATATGATTTTGTTTTAGTGTGATTTTTGACAAGCTACATTAAATTATATAATTACTAATTATTATATATTAATTTTTGTATAACTAATAGCTCTCAACGAACACAAGTCATCACTAAATCACATAAATTTTGTATCTCTAATTTTGGTCCTGATTAGCCATAATGCAGGCTCATGTAGCAGATTCAATTTTCCCATTTCTAGTTATAACTATAATTATTATATAAACAAAAAAAATAAAAAAAATGATATACCATTGTAAAGCTTTTACTCTACTAAAACTTAATAATGTGATTTTATATCTAATTGTACATTATCATAAAATCTTGCATGCTCTAACTATAAAATACTATAACTATTACTATAACTATTAAGATCTTGCAAATGCTAGCACATGCATTATTTTTACATTTGTACCTAGGTCCTAATTTGAATAGGCTTTTCATAAAAGTCAAGATCGATTTTTGTAGTATTACTAGCATACAATCAAGCTTTAGATTAAATGCATATAAAAAAAATGCATATTGGTAATTTTACTATAATTCATAAACATGATCATTGACCCTTAAGTGTCAATCTAAATAAGGTCTATATTTAGTTAAGAATAAAAATAAATACAAGAATTAACTAAAATTATATACCATATTGTCATGAAATAATGCCTACTTGCACATTATTTTGAATATATATGCATTATTTAGAATATGCACATGAGTGTTATTTTGAAACAAAAAATAATTTTTCTGAACCTAAACTTTCAAATTGTTTATAGTGAGTATGTATTATTTGGAATGTGTATAGGCATTATTTTGAAATCATTTATGTTATTTTTATAGAGTACAATTGTCTAAATAACATTTATGCCCATTATTTCACAACAATACAGCAACCAAAAATCTAAAAACCATCTCGAATTTATAAAAACAGATTAATTCTTAAGAGTAAGGATATTCCTCTCTATGCATTTATATAATTCAGACAATAATTGATCAAGTCAAGCATTGTTAAGATTCATATACAATTCACATATTTATTGCTATATGTGCATATCTAAATTTAAAAAATCAATAATAGTTAATATTGTTAAAAAATTTTTGAACTCACACAATATATCTATACTTGTTGTATTGCCCCAAAGCCTCAAAAGATAAAAAGTAGCAAAATCCTTATAGTTATATCATATAGTATAATTAAAAGAAAAAAAGTAAACATTATTTCAAAAAAAATCAATTTTTCAAAAATGTATGCATTATTTGAAGTAACATCTATAAAAGCCATGAAATAATGCGCATTTCATATTATATCAGCATGTTTATAATAAAGTAATTACAAGCTTGAAAATTGATTCTATATTTTAAATATCTATGTGAACATATTCAAATAACATGCAGATTGGTGTTAACTCACAATTATATAATACCTAAAATTATAAAAAGTTATCAGATTTTCAATTTTTTCTTCTTATAAAGTTATAACAAAAATTATTACAAACAATTATTTTATCTATTTGTTTTTGCCTTTTCTTTTTTGTGTTAGTATTTAATAGTCTTATTACAATAATGGCTTCGACCTCTAGTGCTAATAGTTCATCTAAAAGAATGGATACAACAAGTTTTGGTTCAAATAACTCAATTCCTAGAAATAAATCAAAATGCATTGATCAGGAAGATATTACTAATTCATATTCTCAACTGACTTCAAAAAAAAAACAAAAAAATATTGATATAAGAAAAATTCTAAGGATAGTTTTGCTTGATTATTTTTTGACCTTTTTGAATATGAAAAAGATGATGAAAGAGTAACAAAAGTTCAATGTTCAATTGAAGGTTGTGAAGTAGAGTACATATAGCATTGCTCAACTTCTAACATAATTAATCATCTTTGTGATATACATCATATAACAAAAATGTCTCTGAAAAATAAAACAATCGAAGAACTTAAAAAACCATTGCAACAAACACTTGAAACAATTTTAACAAAATCATATTTCAAACAAATACAACAAAAACTTACTTGTAATATAGTTAAATTGTTTCTTTCTTGTACTCTTTCTTTGTCTTTAATAGAAAATAAGAATTTTTGTATCTTTTTAAATTCTTTTGATTCTTGATATAAAGCATCTTGTATAAATACACTTAAGCATAAAATTTCAGATGCAACAATTCAAATAACAAAAACTATTAATTATATGATTAGCACCTAAGCAGATATGGTATCACTTACTTTTGACTTGTAGACATCTCAGGCACATGATTCTTACTTGGGGTTAACGTATCACTAGATCTCTAATGAATTTAAGATATATGATTCTACATTAAGTATGATTGAGATAAGTGAGTATAAAACCACTAGTAACATTGTTAGTACAATTGAACCTGTATTGGAAGAATTTGGCATTAGTAGAAGTAAACTAGTAAGTATTATGACAGATAACAGTTCGAATGTTAAGGCAGCTGTTATACAACTTTCAACTAAAATTTCACCACCCAAGCCTGTTGTTACTATTTTTTGTACAGCACATACATACACAATTAAGTATTAATGTGAGCTTAGATAAAGTATATGATCTAATTATAAAATGTAAAGCATTAATTAGACTTTTGGATGGAGAAAAAAAACATAAACAATTATGAGAGGCACAAATTAGTATTGGCAAAAAAAATCAGAAACTATTAATATAATTCAAGATGTGGATACTTGGTAGAATTCCACATATATAGCACTAAAAAGACTTACAAAACTTGAAAGATCAATTAGATGGTTAGTTAATGATCTTGAAAATTCTACAAATATTGAACATCAGCATGATAATAGTAATATTTGAGAAAAGTTACTTTCTAATAATGAGTTTCAAATTATACATGATCTTGTTAACCTTTTGCATCTATTTTACAAAGCTACGAAGTTTCTTTCTAGTTCTAATTACACTACTTTGAGTATTATAGTACCAACAATAGGAGAGTTAATTAATCATTTGAATAATATAAATAATAAATTTGATATTATAAATAAAATGAAAAATAATATCCTTAATAATTTAATAAGTCATTAGTCATTACTATCTAAATATGGATTATATGCATCCTTGCTTGATTTCAGGTTTAAAAGATTATCTTTTTGTTCTAATATAAGTATAACCAAAATTAATTTAATGTATATAACTGATTTATATTTATATTAAATTATAATAATTGTTACAAAGAGAAACTATTAAAGAATTAAAAGGTCAATTTAATGAGCTTAGTAGGCAAGTAAATAGACAAGTTAATCAAACAACAACTACTAATTCAAGTTCAACAGAACAAACAACAAAAAAAAAATCTGCTATGAAAAGTTTTTTTCATTAATTCGAAATGATGATGATGAATCTATTAATCAAAATGAAATTGATAAGTACTTTTCAATTTCTGAAGCAGATTAAACAAAAGAAAATGATCTGTTAGATTGATAAAGTAAGCAAAAAAATTAATTTCCTATCCTTTCCATTTTTGCAAGAAAGTATCTTGTGATTTCTGCCACTTTTGTTCCTTCTAAACAGTTGTTTTTGGATGTTAACAACTATATTACTTCAAAATGAAATCGATTGGATCAACATCTTGTAGACAAATTATTGTTTTTAAAACAAAATTTAATATATGTAAAAATTTTCACCCTGTTAAATAAGTAAAACAAAAAATTATTAGTAGTGTGATAAATTAAAAAAAAAAATTTCTCAGTTGAAAAAGTTTTTTTTAATATATATAACGGATATTTTTTTATCATCCTTTTATTGAATATTATTATACATATATTTATATATTAGAAAGGCAAAAAGTAATATAGCTATAGAAATGTATAGAATTATATAAAGCTTAAAACATTAAACCTTCAGCTTTAGTAATAAATATTTCTGTTTAGTTTAAATTAAGTTACATGTTTTTATATTACTATCAATCTAAAAGCTCTATTAACTTAAAAAGTAACTTAGAAATTTTTAATAAAAATAAAATTTTAAATTTGAAATTCAAAATCAAAAATTTTTTTTTTAATATATTAATTAATTATTTAATCAGATAACCAATCGACTAATTGATTAGTTGAAAAAAATCAAATAATCAAATAATCAGATAAAATAATCTATCAACTAATCAATTGAAAATTTTTTGTCGATTTGTATTACTAGCTAGAAGGAACTCTCTGCTAGAATCCAAGTTCAGTAGAGCCCTTGGTTGAAATACTAGAAATAAAATTTTTTTATATATTTTTCTTCTTTGAACAATTATATACATTTTTTTTTATTATATAATATTTTATTAATTTGACTTTAATACTTTATTTTTATTATTAGTTTATTTTATATATATACTTATATTTTATTATCATAAAAACAAAAAAAAAAAAAAAAAAACAATAATAAACACAATCTAAAGTTCAACATCTGACAATCTATCTCTACTATCATTATTCTCTTCCCTTCTTCCTTCTTCTATCTTCAATCTTTTCAAGTCCTCTTCATAATTTTCCAACCTTGCTCTCAATCTATTTCTCTTATCCAACAATCTTGTATATCATTGCCCTAACATCCACCTATTTTGCACCCTTGTTATCACATTTTCTCTTAACTCCTTCAACTTCTCTTCTAAATTCTGAATTCTTCTTCTTTGTGAGGCTATCAACTGGAGCAAGCTATATAAATTTTATTAGCTTTACAAAAATAATACTAAGAAGAATATTTTTGTTGAAATTAAATATTTACTAGCTATTTTTATTTTGGTCCATTTCTAAGGCCTCATACAAGGCATTATTGCCATTATGTCTAGCTCGACAAACACTTCTTAGAAGGCTGTATTTTGGTATTTTTTATTATTATTGTTGAAGTTGTTGTTGTTGTTGTTGTTAAAGAAATTTTTTAAAAAAAAGATGAAAAAGAGCAGAAATATAAATATTTTTCTTTTTATGAACAATAATCAAATTTTCTTTAACAAAAAAACAAAAATAGAAATCAATTAGAAGTTGATTTAACAAATCTGGAAATTAATTAGAAATAGATTTAACAAATTTAGAATAACAATAATTTGTAAATCGTATGATTACAAATACAAACAATAAATAGATTAGAAAATCCATTAAAAGAAAACAATCACAATAAAGATAATGTGATTGCTAAATTTAAAAATAGATGAACCAACTAGAACAAGTTGCTAATTTTAGACAAATTAGTAAATAAGGTTCGGAGACCTTACTTTTTAAGAAAAGGAAAACACAAAGAACACTATAATTACAAAAATAGAACAGACTAAACATGTGGCAATACAAATTTTGCCAAATATATTTTTTTTAGAACAAAAAATTGTTTAATATTATTGTAAACAACTATAGTACCCAGATTTAATTAACAAAGTCTTAGTATATGACTACTATTTAGAAGCTCTATTAATAGAAAAACCAGATTATAACAAGTCTATTAATACAAGTCAAATTAAGATTTAAACTAAAACTTATTAATTGTTTAAAGCAATAGATTATAAACAAATTTATTAAATAAAAAAATTGGCTTTCAAGCATATTAGTGATATGAGTAGAGCCAAGTTTAACTAGTTAATTGCCTTTTGTATATAGTACAAAAGTTGTAGAAATTTCGTAAAACAAAATTCTTAAGAAGAAAAAAATGTTACAAAGTAAATTATTAGCATAGCATAGTATAAATATTATATTATTAGTAGTTATTATATATTCATTATTGTATTTTATATTATATTTATTATTAGTTATTAGTATAGTTATATTATAGTATATAGTAATTAGAAAAAATAGAATCTTAATTAGCTGTTAGAAATGTAATACAGATACATAACATTGGGTAACATCTATAATGTCATTATTGTCTTACAAATCTCAAGTACCTCTATACAAGTTTCATATATCCTAGTACAATTTATTATGCCAAATACCATAGTACAAGAATCTCAAGTATTCTTAATATAATCCTCAAGTGTCCCTGCACAATCCCAAATATCTTTAACACAATCTTCAAATATCTTTGCACAATCTCAACTGTCACTGCACAAACTCAAGTACCTTTATACAAGCTCCAAGTGTTTCAATACAAATAACAAATACATATAAACATTATCCAACTATCTTTGTACAAACTTCATTTGCCTCTGCACAATTCCCACTACCTCAAGTACAGTATCAAGAGATGTTACTCAAACTTCTACTACTCCCACTAGATAAAAAGATATATAAAGAATACCTTTTTTCTTCTCTGCCAATTCTAAGTTTCTATACTTTAATTCAGACATAATGACCTTTTGATTGTAAAAGGGTAATATTCTCCCTCTAGGGTAATTCTTATAGACAAGATTGTCACTATGTGTTTATTTAATAAAAGTTAATTTATATACTGTTATTATCTTGAACTATTTGTCTGCTGCTATGTAGTAAAGTGAACTACTATATCTCTATTTTATATATATTTGCAATAGTCAATTACTATACTAGGTGACCTTGTTACTTGGTTGTATTGTATCAAGAAGGCTATAACTTTGTAACAATACTAATACTAATAAAATATAATATAAAATACAATAATAAATATATTATAACTATCCTTTAATCACTCTCTTCGCTGATTACTTGTATACAAAACTGTAAAAAAATATTTTAGAAGTTTGCTAAAAAATGGCTGTTAAAACCAACCTTATAGGCTTAAAAAAAAAGATAGAGCTTGTGAAAAAAAATATAGCAGAAGATAAAAGTAGAAAATTAGAAAGCTTGTAGGAAAGATAAAAAAGAAAATATCTTGGTCGATATTTGGAAAAGTGAAATTTGGGGAATTCTCTGTAACTTGGAAACGTCGATCTGTAGATCACAGCAACATATGAATAGATAAACAAACAGACATGTATTGATAGACATACAAACAAATCCAATTTGGATAGTAATAGACATAAGATATAGAAAGTGCTAGAACAAATAGTAAATAGGAGCCACTAATAACTAAGCAAAATATGAGTAGCACACAAAATTGGAAAGAAAGCCTAATGACAACTTACATCAAAAGAGCATATTGGGCAGCAAATGGCATACACAACAAGGTGTTTTTTAACCAAGCTAGTAAAATCATTCCAACACCAGACAGAAAAGATGAGATTATAGCTATGCTAACAGAACAAGATGCATTAGAGGTTGCCTTGCTGCATATAACAAGAGAAATAATTAAGAAAGCAGAAGAAGAACAGTCAGATAAGAAAATCAATATTATGAAACAAGACAAGAATATTATTATAATAAAAGAACCTATAAAAAAACAAATACAAGTCAAACAGAAAAAGACACATCAACAGTCAATAAAAGCAAACAGAAACCAAGAAGAAAAAGTAAGTCTGACAAACAATTATCAAGAAAAAGAAAATTTGTTTATACAAGAAAGAGACACAGAAGTAAAAAAAAAAGAGTAAGAACAAGAAGCCATCGAAATAGAAGTTGAAAAAGAAATTGATATAGTCAGAGAGCCTCTAGAAGAAAGTATATAGGCCCCAAACAAAAGGAACTGTAACCAAAACAACAGTCTGCTTGCGAATATACCAGCACACAATGTACCAGGAAAAACAAAAGAAGAGCATATGAAATTTATTAGATGGTCATTAAGAAACAATGCACATATTAAAGATGTTAAAGAAGTTTTCAAAAGAGGAAACTTATGGATAGAAGAAGATTTTGACTGCGAATATAGTAGAAATGCAGCAATACAAAGAATTAGCAAAAAGGAAAGTGACTGGTACAGAATAATACCTGAAGAAAAAGAAGGCAGCATGAAGAGGCAGACACAACACAATGAGA